ATTCCTGATCTTAAGGGAAAGGCTCTCAGCTTTTCCCCATTGAGGATGATATTCGCTGTGGGTTTTTCATAGATGGATTTTATGAGCTTGAGGAATGGTCCCTCTATCCTTATACTCTGGAGAGTTTTAATCAGGAAAGGATGTTGTATTTTGTCAAATGCTTTTTCTGCATCAATTGAGAGGACCATATGGTTCTTCTCCCTCCTCTTATTAATGTGTTCTATCACACTGATTGATTTGCGAATGTTGAACCATCCTTGCATCCCAGGGATAAATCCCACTTGGTCGTGGTGGATGATCCTTTTAATGTATTGTTGGATCCTATTAGCTAAGATTTTGTTGAGGATTTTGGAATCCTATTCATCAGGGATATCAGTCTGAAATTCTCCTTTTTGATGGGGTCTGGTTTGGGGATTAAGGTAATGCTGGCCTCATAGAATGAGTCTGGAAGCTTTCCTTCTGTTTCTATTTTTTGAAACAGCTTCAGGAGAACGGGTATTATTTCTACCTTGAATGTTTGGTAGAATTCGCCAAGGAATCCATCAGGCCCTGGACTCTTGTTTTTTGGGAGGTTTTTGATCACTGCTTCAATCTCGTTACTGGTTATTGGCCTATTCAGGTTGTCCATTTCTTCCTGTTTCAGTCTTGGCAGCTTATAGGTTTCCAGGAAGGCCTCCATTTCATCCAGATTGCTCAGTTTATTGGCATATAGTTGTTGATAATAATTTCTAATAATTGTTTCTATTTCCTTGGTGTTAGTCGTGATCGCTCCCCTTTCATTCATAATTTTATTAATTTGGGTCTTTTCTCTTTTCTTTTGGATAAGTCTGGCCAGTGGTTTATCAATCTTATTAATTCTTTCAAAGAACCAACTTCTAGTTTTGTTGATCTGATCTACTGTGTTTCTGGTTTCTAATTCATTGATTTCTGCTCTAATTTTAATTATTTCTCTTCTAATGTGTGGCTTAGGCGTTTGTTGCTTTTTCTCTAGTTCTTTAAGGTGTAGAGTTAGTTGGTGAATTCGGGATTTTTCTATTTTTTTGAGTGAGGCTTGGATGGCTATGTATTTCCCCCTTAGGACCGCCTTTGCAGTATCCCATAGGTTTTGGACCGATGTGTTTTCATTTTCATTGATTTCCATGAATTGTTTAAGTTCTTCTGTGATTTCCTGGTTGACCCAAACATTCTTGAGCAGAGTGGTCTTTAGCTTCCAAGTGTTTGACTTTCTGCCAAATTTTTTCTTGTGATTGAGTTCCAGTTTTAAAGCACTGTGGTCTGAGAATATTCAGGGAATAATCTCAATCTTTTGGTATCAGTTGAGACTTGATTTGTGACCCAGTATGTTGTCTATTCTGGAGAAAGTTCCATGTGCACTCGAGAAGAATAAGTATTCTGTTGTTTTAGGGTGGAATGTTCTGTAAAAATCTATGAGGTCCATCTGGTCCAATGTATCATTCAAAGCTCTTGTTTCCTTGTTGATTTTCTGCTTAGATGATCTGTCCATTGCTGAGAGTGGAGTATTGAGGTCTCCTACAATTAATGTATTGTTATCAATATGACTCTTTATTTTGGTTAACAGTTGGCTTATATAGATGGCTGCTCCCATGTTGGGGGCATAGATATTTACAATTGTTAGATCTTCTTGTTGGATAGACCCTTTAAGAATGATATAGTGTCCCTCTGTGTCTCTTATTACAGACTTTAGTTTAAAATCTAATTTGTCTGATATGAGAATTGCTACCCCAGCTTCCTTTTGAGGTCCGCTGGCATGGAAGATGGATCTCCATCCCTTCACTTTTAGTCTGGATGTATCTTTAGGTTGAAAATGAGTCTCTTGTAGACAGCATATGGATGGATCCTGTCTTTTTATCCAATCGGCAACCCTGTGCCATTTTATGGGAGTGTTTAAGCCATTCACGTTTAGAGTGATTATTGAAAGATATGAATTAATTGTCATCATGTTGCCTGTGAAGATCTTGTTTTTATAGATTGTCCCTGTAAATTCCTGTTGTAGATCACTCTTCGGGTCTTTCTATTTTTATAGAAGCCCCCTTAATATTCTTGCAGGGCCAGCTTAGTGGTCATATATTCTTTCAACTTCTGCCGGTCGTGGAAGCTTTGCATCTCTCCATCCATTCTAAATGAAAGCCTTGCCAGATAAAGTATTCTTGGCTGAATGTTCTTCTCATCTAGTACCCTGAATATGTCTTGCCAGGCCTTTCTGGCTTGCCAGGTCTCTGTGGATAGGTCTGACATTATTCTGATGTTCCTCCCTCTGTACGTAAGGAATCTCTTCCCCCTAACTGCCCTTAAGATGGTTTCCTTGGTTCTAAGATTTGCAAGTTTTACTATTACATGCCAGGGTGTTGGCCTGTTTTCCTTGATCTTAGGAGGGGTCTTCTCTGCCTCTAGGACTCGAATGTTTGTTTCATTCCCCAGATTAGGGAAGTTCTCAGCTACGATTTGCTCAAATACATCTTCTAGTCCTCTCTCTCTCTCTCCACTCCCTCTGGGATTCCAATTATTCTGACATTGGAATGCTTCATGGTGTCACTTATTTCTCTGATTCTATTTTCATGGATTCTGAGTTGTTTTTCCCTGGCCTCCTCTTTTCCCTTTTTGTCTATTATATTGTCTTCCAGGTCGCTTATTCTCTCTTCTGTCTCAGTTACCCTAGCTGTTGGATTATCTAGATTGGATTGGATCTCACTGATAGCATTTTTAAGTTCTGCCAGTTCACCTTTTATTTCTGTCCTTAGAGATTCTATGTTGCCATTAATTGATTTCTCCATTCTAGCCATTGTCTTCACCATTGTTAGCCTGAATTCCATCTCTGACATCTTGGTTATATGTGCATCCATTTGTAAATCTGCAGCATAAGTCATAATCTCTGAGTCTTTTCTATTTAGGGGGCTCTTCCTCCTAGTCATTCTGTTGATGGGTGTTTGAGGGAATGTATAGAGTCCAAATTATTGACCAGAACCCAAGCAAGATGCACCTGTTTTCTTGGGACCTTAGGGTTCCTGGCCTCTTGTTTTCCCAGCCTGTCTTCTGCGGGAGAGGCCTGCCGCTCTGTTACTCAGGCAACCCTGTTTGGGCGGAGTTGCCCTGTGCCCCTGTGGCAGGGGATGGGCTCAGCGGGAATCAGTCTTTGGGGCTTTTGTTCTCTGGCGCCTTTCCCTGGCGGCTTTCCGTGTCTCTTCTGCGAGTCAGAGCAGAGGAGACCATTTCCAACCCTCTGCCTCAGAGCAGAGAGATCGCAGTCTGTTCTTCAGTGAGCTCTCCAGGCCACACCATCTCCTTTTCTGTCCGTGTTGCTATAAACTGCAGCATCCTGGGTTGTGCATCCCTCCACAGTGCTCCCAGTCCTGCCTCCAGGTCGGGGCACATCTCTGCCCTTTGTGCTTCTAAAACCGCCAGCCGCTCCCAGTTCGTGCACACGGGTGACTCCACCGCTTGGGGTTCTGTCCCAGGGACTGCAGTTCGCATGCGCGTGACTCCACAGCTCGGGGTTTCCACCCGGGGGTTGCAGTTCACCGGCAAGATCCGGTGCACCGGGTTTCTGTCTCGGAGGCTGCAGTTCGCGTGCACGCGACTGTCGCTCCGGGTTTCTGTCCAGGGGGCTGCGGCTCGCGGGCGCGCGACCCCGCCAGTCTGGTTTTCCATCCTGGGGGCTGCCCTAAAGTTCTTTCCCGATGCTACGGGTCTGCGAGTCTGTGCCCCCTCTGTAGCGTGTGAGGCTGTCACTCACCGGCGGTGCAGGATCCCCATGGCCAGGCACCCTCCGGCTGCCGTTTATCCTCCGATATCTGCCCGCAGAATCACGGCTCCCCGCTTCGTACCTCAAAACCAACTGCCTGCGATATTCTGCTTGTAGAGATCCAGATCTTCTTACATCTCAGGCTGGTTTTGTGGGTGCTCGGAGTGGTCTGGTAGATATCCAGCTCAATTCTGGGGACCAGTTGAAATAGGGTCCCCTACTCCTCCACCATCTTTCCCCCCTCCTATATATGCATTTCTAATAGTCTTATGGATAGAATATTTTGATGATAACATAGGTAGAAATGTTCATTTCTCCCCAAACTTTTAGTATTCTTTCTGTCCCAAAATGGAAGGAATGATTTTGTTATCTGCATTTTATCTTGCATAATTTTGTTTTGAGTGATGGTAGTAGTGACCGGAGCTATATAGTCAAGGCCATCTAGGAGAGTTTAATCCTATATTAAATGAGATTATTCTGTTCACATTTTTTTTTTCCTTTCATTTCTTTGTCTTCTACTTTCCTCTCCATTCTCATTTCCTTTTCCCTTCACAGTGTCCCTGTCAGAACAAATACGGCGTTAATTCTGAAGCAGCTTGTAGGACATCAGCTGCCTCTCTGTAGATTTTTAATGTATTTATTGAAAGAGAATATCAAATCATTTGAAAATTCTGATGAGTACAGATTTGAAAAGAAAATTGTTTCCTGATAATCTAACTCTAGCCTAATAGCATTACCACCTTGAATATTGATGATACTATTCTGGGTACCTTTTAACTTTATTTTCCTTTTTCTCTTTCTGTTTTCTGTTTGTTAGGGGTGTGTAGGTGTGCATATGGCCATGATAGCGTCTGAGAAAGAGAGAAAATTGTTTTTGTTCTTGTTTTAGTAGTCAGCTTGAAACATAGCTTTCTTATCTTTGATTTCATCACCTTTAAGTTTGTCTTTCTAAACCTAGGATTGTTGTGTCTGAGCACATGTCTAAGCACATGTCTTAAATCATGTCTTTTAATTAATTAATATTCTTATCTCCTATGGCCCTGGAAGGACACTAGTTATGTATTACTCTTGAAACAATCGAAAAAATAGCCTCTTGAATATTTTTTTTGTTTGATGGGTATCCTCTATCAAGAAAATAGGAATCTATGAGCTTGTTACTTTTTTACATTTTAGTGAACTTCCTCTTTCTTCAGCACATGGTGCTTTTTTTTTTTTTTCATTTTACAGGAAGAAATTGTGCTTAGACAATAGTTTGACTCTATCAGACACACTGTTACTTTCATTTTGAGAAATACTGCTTAACGTCGCTTTGTTTTTCTAAAGTAGAATAACTCTAGTTTGGAGCTTCTATTAAAGATACTAATAACATTTTTACATTCAATTTAGAATTTTGAAGAGAGGTTTTGGAAGAGATGACACAAAGCCCCCAGATAGCCACCCAGACTGATCACAGGAATCAAAGAACCCATGAAAAGAAACAAGGTAAGGATATTTACAGTTGTTCAGAATGAAAGTTATAGATGGAAATTATGACATTATGTTAAAAGCCTTCCAAGGTATGGGATGGGTTTTGTTGTTTTTTTAATCAGGGCAGAAAAATCCTTCTTTGAGTTAACATCTCCATAAAATGAAAATTGTGACAATAAAATTCAGATTTGTAATTGGCTATTTTGTCTTATGAATGGAGATTATTTTAACTGATAGTGGAGAGAGATTAACCACAGTTTAAAACTATTCAAGATTTAATTTCATTATTACTAAGTATATAATAAAACTAAAACTGGAGAAAATGTTAAATTTGATCCACAGACTCATTCAAGGCCCAGAATGCAGACACAATATGAAAAATTTGGCCAATATTTCTAATGTCTTAAAAGATTGTTTATGGACAGTGAGTGGAGTCATGATAAGCCAGACTTTGGGGTACTTAATAGCAGAAAGATTATCTCCCTATCCTCCTCTTATCTGAACAATCACTAGTACTCTGATGTCCTTGAAGATGTCTCTGGCAACCTTAAGAAAGATAAGAAAAGAAAATGCACTTTAAAACTAAAAGTAGAAACTAGAAAACAACTTGGTAGCTTTGGACATACTAACTAGCAAGTTCAGAATATGTAAGATCCAAACTTGAAATCTAGCAGAAAAATCTTTCAAAGGTATTTCAACAAGGGTCTTCATAGTCAAAATATGGTGAAGAAGAGAGGCTAAATCCATTAAATACAATAATCATTTTAGGGACTCTGGTTGGTTTTAAGCATTTGCCATTTAATTTCTTTTCAGTCTACTAGTGCATGCAACAGTCAAAAGTTATTGTTACTGCAGTTCATATTAGAATGCATAATTATTCCTCATTTTTTTGATAATTCTGTCTAAGGTTAGATCAAAGAGGGTTGGGTACAATGGGATCAAATATTATATGATAATATGAAAATATCAGAACCAAAAGTTTAAGAATGCTTTCTAGCCACTCATAAAATCAATGTTAATTTCTACCCTAAATATCAATCATCAATATGAATTTATATATTTTATGTATGAATAAATGATATATATTACAAATATAGTCTGTAATTTATGAAGTAATATTAAGTATATGTGTATTATATATAGCATACATAGATATATAATTTGAACTTATAAACACCATTGTAATAGTTAATTTAGTGCATGATATAATTTATTTTTAATATTTTCTTTTATATTATTCTTTCTTATTAGTAATTTGTTAATTTTTTCCCCATAGCTGTCAGTTAAGAAAAAGTGTATTTTATTGAGTTTTAAATTCACTGGTCACCCTGGATTTTTCCTCTTATCTCTACTTGGAGATCATTGTCAATTTTAGAATATGTGCTGTGGAATCAAGCACAGAGGAGATCAGTGCCAGAAACTGAGAGAAATTACTTGAGTCAGCTCTATGGGGAAAGTAATTGGAATCCTTAACTGTTTAGATTATGATAGGGATGAATTTAGAACTATTTTAGTTACATTATTAATAGGTTTTCATTGAGCTGCCCGGGGATGTTATCTGTTTTTACTTTCCTTTGTTGCACACATTATAAGGGCTGAGCAACTTCTTTGAAATTCATCTCTCACTACTAAATTCACAGAGGGAAACCAATATTTTCTGGGTTTTTTTGTTTGTTTGTTTTTTGGATAATTTGTGCATGTGCAGGTATTGATCATTGAGTATAAGGATAAAGAGAAGGAACTTATAAAATGAAAGCCATTTATACTGAATGTAGAAAAGTAGATTTTAGGGCTCAGGACAGATTAGAGAATGAACATGTAGCATGCTTAAATATGTATCCGCATATCAGAAATGCAGTACATGTCCAATTCATTAGTGTCCTGTATCAAACTAAAAGTCACTCCAAGTCCCCATCCCACTGAACTGACAGGACATTTAATCTGTGCTGTTTGGTGGTATTGAGAGTGCGGGGGAGGAGGGTTCTTCTGGGTTATATGACGTTTCCTAACTTTATTGTGGCATTGAAACATCGAGAGAGTCTTCAGTCATCTCTTTTCTCTGGTTATTTGTGAAAAGATATATCCCAACATCACTTAGCCTTTTGGTTTTAGTCCCCCTATTTCTGTGCTACACTTACCATAGCATGCCATGCTGTTTCTTTGCCACATTCATGGCGCAGGCATCTTATTGAGTCTGGTGTTGTATACATGTAATGACACATTGACTTGACTGATGATATAGAAAAAGGAGAAAAGTACTTGTTTTCTTTTTTTTTTTTTAAGATCATAGTTTTTCTTTTCTTCTTTTTTTTAATTGTTTTATTCTTATGTTAACCCCCATACATTACATCATTAGTTTTAGATGTAGTGTTCCATGATTCATTGTTTGTGCATAACACCCACTGCTCCATACAGAATGTGCCCTCCTCAATACCCATCACCAGGCTAACCCATCCTCCCACCCCCCTCCCCTCTAGAACCCTCAGTTTGTTTTTCAGAGTCCATCGTCTCTCATGGTTCGTCTACCCCTCCGATTTCCCCCGCTTCATTTTTCCCCTCCTGCTACCTTCTTCTTCTTCTTCTTCTTTTTTTTTTTTTCTTAACATATATTGCATTATTTGTTTCAGAGGTACAGATCTGAGATTCAACAGTCTTGCACAATTCACAGCACTTACCAGAGCACATACCCTCCCCAGTGTCTATCACCCAGTCACCACCTCCCTCCCATCCACCCCCACTCCAGGAACCCTCAGTTTGTTTCCTGCGATTAAGAATTCCTCATATCACTGAGGTCATATGATACATGTCTTCCTCTGTTTGACTTATTTCGCTCAACATAATACCCTCCAGTTCCATCCACGTCATTGAAATGGCAAGATCTCATTCCTTTTGATGGCTGCATAATATTCCATTGTATATATAGACCACCTCTTCTTTATCCATTCATCTGTCGATGGACATCTTGGCTCTTTCCACAGTTTGGCTATTGTGGACATTGCTGCTATAAACATCGGGGTGCACGTACCCCTTCGGATCCCTACTTTTGTATCTTTGGGGTAAATACCCAGTAGTGCAATTGCTGGATCGTATGGTAGCTCTATTTTCAACTTTTTGAGGAACCTCCATACTGTTTTCCAGAGTGGCTGCACCAGCTTGCATTCCCACCCACAGTGTAGGAGGGTTCCCCTTTCTCTGCATCCCCGCCAACATTGGTCATTTCCTGACTTGTTAATTTTAGCCATTCTGAATAGTGTGAGGTGGTATTCTCATTGAAGTTTTGATTTGGATTTCCCTGATGCCGAGCGATATTGAGCACCTTTTCATGTGTCTGTTGGCCATTCGGATGTCTTCTTTGGAAAAATGTCTGTTCATGTCTTCTGCCCATTTCTTGATTGGATTCTTTGTTCTTTGGGTGTTGAGTTTGATGAGTTTTTTTTTTTTTTAAAGATTTTATTTATTTATTTGAGACAGAGAGAATGAGAGAGAGCACATGAGAGGGGGGGGGGTCAGAGGGAGAAGCAGACTCCCTGTCGAGCAGGGAGCCTGATGCGGGACTCGATCCAGGGACTCCAGGATCATGACCTGAGCCGAAGGCAGTTGCTTAACCAACTGAGCCACCCAGGCGCCCTGATGAGTTCTTTATAGATTTTGGATACCAGCCCTTTATCTGATATGTCATTTGCAAATATCTTCTCCCATTCTGTCCGTTGTCTTTTGGTTTTGATGACTGTTTTCTTTGCTTTGCAAAAGTTTTTTCTCTTGATGAAGTCCCAATAGTTCATTTTTGCCCTTGCTTCCCTTGTCTTTGGCAATGTTTCTAGGAAGGAGTTGCTTTGGCTGAGGTCGAAGAGGTTGCTGCCTGTGTTCTCCTTTAGGATTTTGATGGACTTCTGTCTCACATTGAGGTCTTTCAACCATTTGGAGTCTATTTTTGTGTGTGGTGTAAGGAAATGGTCCAGTTTCATTCTTCTGTATGTGGCTATCCAATTTTCCCAACACCATTTGTTGAAGAGACTGTCTTTTTTCCATTGGACATTCTTCCCTGCTTTGTCAAAGATTAGTTGACCATAGAGTTGAGGGTCCATTTCTGGGCTCTCTATTCTGTTCCATTGATCTATGTGTCTGTTCTTGTGCCAGTACCATGCTGTCTTGATGATGACAGCTTTGTAATAGAGCTTGAAGTCTGGAATTGTGATGCCGCCGGCTTTTCTTTTCTTTTTCAACATTCCTCTGGCTATGCGGGGTCTTTTCTGGTTCCATACAAATTTTAGGATTATTTGTTCCATTTCTTTGAAAAAAGTGGATGATATTTTGATGGGGATTACATTGAATGTGTAGATTGCTCTAGGTAGCATTGACATCTTCACAATATTTGTTCTTCCAATCCATGAGCATGGAATGTTTTTCCATTTCTTTGTGTCTTCCTCAATTTCTTTCATGAGTATTTTATAGTTTTCTGAATACAGATCCTTTGCCTCTTGGGTTAGATTTATTCCTAGGTATCTTATGGTTTGGGGTGCAATTGTAAATGGGATCGACTCCTTAATTTCTCTTTCTTCTGTCTTGTTGTTGGTGTATAGGAATGCCACTGACTTCTGTGCATTGATTTTATATCCTGCCACTTTACTGAATTCCTGTATGAGTTCTAGCAGTTTTGGGGACTTGTTTTCTTGATACCTGATATTTGAAGAAAAGTAATAGGGAATTCGAGAAATTAATAAGGTGACACTTGAAAGGTGATCAAAACCCCATTAGACAGAGCCTGGACTACAGTTTGGAACTGAGGCATATACAGAAATAAAAGGCTGAAAACACAGGTGTATGTTTTGTTTCTCCTCTTTATGTCTTTGGTACATTTGAGGGAGGGTCATTTCTCTTACCTAGGAATACCCCCTCCATTTGTACTTCAGACCACAACCCCTGTAGACTGTGCAAGAATTCTTCTTCTTAATTTAATTATTCCCTCCCTTTCTTGCCTGCATTAGCAATCTATCCCTTCCATATTAAATCATGCCCAAATTCATAAAAGAAACATTATGTGTTATATCTTAAAAAAAAAAAAACAAACCTATAATAACCACCCATCTCGTTCTAACTAACTACTTCTTTGCTTGCTCTCATACACACAGCACAAGTTCTCTGAGTCTACATGCTGATTTTACTTCCTTACTTCCAGCAACATGCCCTTATTCTGTGTGACTCTGAAACCATTCTATCAAGGATATCAGTGGCCTCCAAGTGCTCCATTAGATTTTTCTACCTCCACTGCTACCACCCTTGTTTATGAGATCCCCATAATTCAGTTGATTAGAGTTATAGCTCCCTAAATAGTCTCTCCACTCACTAGTCACAGGGAACTTTTTATTTTTTTAAAAGATTTTATTTATTTATTTGACAGAGACACAGCGAGAGAAGGAACACAAGCAGGGGAAGTGGGAGAGGGAAAAGCAGGCTTCTCGCCTAGCAGGAAGCCCGATGTGGGGCTCGATCCCAGGACCCTGGGATCATGACCTGAGCCCAAGGCAGACGCTTAATGACTGAGCCACGCAGGTGCCCCAATCACAGGGAACTTTTAAAAGCATAAATGTAGCAGTGCCAAACACCCACCTAAAACAATTCAGTGGCTTCCATTATATTTTGAAGAATGTCAAGTTCTTTCCCAGAGCCTTCAATGCTTAGCATCATTTTGCTCCTAACTAGTCACTATTCCATGCTACTTCCGACCTTATCAAACTTGTTCTACTTGGCCACATTCTTTTCAATTCTTTCCTGATTTAAGGCACTTGAACTTGCTGTTCTTTTTGCTTAAAATGCTTTCTCTGGTTTATTTCACATAAATGGCCACTGTTACGTTTTGGTTTTAATGTCGCTTCCACCCAATTCCCCCCCCCCCACACACACGCTGTCTTTTCTGGTCATTTTCCCTTTATCTATCACCCTGCTTATTGCCTTCCAGCTCTTGTTGCAATCTGTAATTTTTAAATTTTTTTTTCAGTTGACTATGTCTTTTCCACCAAATGCAAATTCCAGGAGAGCACAGATTATGTCATTTTGTTTATTATTATATTTATGGAAACTAGCACATAGTAGGTGATCAGTAAATATTTGTCAAAGAATGAACAAATAAACACAGTGCTGGTACACAAGTGAAGCATTGCAGTTGATGCTTCTTATGTAGCTTTGAAATTCCAGATGGTCAGAAGAAATGCACAACTAATGACAGGACTTTTCAGAAATTTGGCAGAAACACACAGGTTAGACATAATTCCTAATCATATTTCTCACATGGTTGAAATAATAACAGTCTGGTGGCTCAAAAACAATGCTAGTTTTCTCTTTGCTTCATTCCCTCTCCCTCCTTATGGTACTTCTTAAAAATTACTTTATTATGAATTTTTATAAGTACCAATATTTTCATATGTTACGCATGATAGTGTAGATAGCTCATACTTTTGGAAGAACATCTAATCAATATATGCCAATTTATTTATCTTTGACATTTTTTTCTTAACAGGATAATTAGATAAGCATGCAAGACATTTAAACTATAGTTCTAATTCTGGTTAAAACTAAAAAGGGTGGTCGGGGCGCCTGGGTGGCTCAGATGGTTAAGTGTCTGCCTTCGGCTCAGGTCGTGATCCCAGGATCCTGGCATCGAGTCCCGCATTGGGGTCCCTGCTCCTTGGGAGCCTGCTTCTCCCTCTGCCTCTCTCTCTCTCTCTCTCTCTCTTATGAATAAATAAATAAATAAATAATCTTTTAAATAAAAAAAAAAACTAAAAAGGATGGGACAGCCTAAATACCCATCAGAAAAGGATTTTTTTAAAACAGTATAGCTACATAAAAGTATTATCAGTCATTAAATTTATAATGTCAAATTATTCTTTAACATGATGTATAAATCCAGCTGTTGCACCTCCAAATTTTAGTGGCTTAAAACAACAATCATTGTATTGCTTGTGGTTCTAAGGTTTAGGGATAAGGACCGATTCAAGAAGAATGGCTCATGTATCCTCTGTTATGTTGGGCTCCAGAACAGTGAAAGTAGGAATTAAAGGTCTCTTAAGGCTTGGGCTCTAAAGTTTCAGTGTCACTTCTACCAGTCTATTGGTTAAAGCAAGGCACAAGGTGATTCATATGCAAGTGGTGGGGAATACAGTAGATCTCTTGATGGGAGGAGGAGCAGGATCATGTGTCAAAGGGGTGGTGGACACAGGGGGCATGATTCATTGGGGGTCATTCGTAACAGTCAACCACACATGAGAAAAACAAACTGTTAACTGAAAACATTAGAATATAAAACAGTGGGTACGTGATGATTGTACTCATTTAAAATCATGTGTATTTGTAGGGGAGGTTATATGTGTGAAAATAAGATTAGAGAGATATATGGATGGAAGGATGCTAACCCAAATGATAATGCTGGTTATGTCTAAGTAGTAGAAATTTAGATGTGTTTTATTTTTTTTAAGATTTTATTTATGGGTGCCTGGGTGGCTCAGTTGGTTAAGCGACTGCCTTCGGCTCAGGTCATGATCCTAGAGTCCCTGGATCTAGTCCCGCATCGGGCTCCCTGCTCGGCAAGGGGTCTGCTTCTCCCTCTGACCCTCCCCCCTCTTATGTGCTCTCTCTCATTTCTCTCTCTCTCTCAAATAAATAAATAAAATCTTTTTAAAAAAAGATTTTATTTATTTATTTGATGGAGAGAGAGAGAGCACAAGCAGGGAAAGCAGCAGGCAGAGGGAGAAGGAGAAGCAGGCTCCACACTGAGCAGGGAGCCACCTTGGGATCATGACCTGAGCCAAATGCAGCCGCTTAATGACTGAGCCACCCAGGTGCCCCTTAGATGTGTTTTAAATTTAATATCTTTCATACATCCACAAAGGAAAAATGTTTATTCAACAAAAGAATAGCTCTTCACTAGGAAAAAGATAGGAATGATAAATGCCCTCAATAAGTTTATCGTCTGTAAGTACCTCCTGTAACATTTAAAATTGCATAAAATTTTACATTAAGGATGCTTATAATCACATAAAATAACAAAAGAGTTTTATTTCAAAAAAACTTATGTACCATTTTTTCCCCAAATGGATACTAATAATACCAGGCCAGAAAACAACAACAACAAAAAAAATGTCTTGTTCAAATTCCTTTGCTCGTTTGTAGCAAAAAATCTCAATTCCAAATCTTTGGATTGATTACTTATGAACTTTCAAATATGCTATACTATCTATCCTTTAAAATAAATTTTTCATTAGTTAGAAAGTAGATTTTCTTAAAAATATTCAAGGAGTGTTAGGATGTAGTGATATTGTACCATAGAAAAAGGATACTGAAGGCCTGGGGGTAGCTCCAGGTCTTAAGAAATTCTACCCTAAAGAATTATACATATTTGATTCCTTGGACTATGACAGTAAAATCAATGGTGACACTTAGATTGAATGTAAAGATGAACTGAGAAATTTCAAAAAAATAGGGTTGGGTTTTTTTCCATATATCAAACAAATAATATGTTTGTGTTATCTTATGAAATATCAGAATAAATTGCCAAAAGAAGTTTGTTAGTTATGGCTATGAATGCAAATTTAGTCTTTCTTTTACCTGTTTCTAAATTTAATTTTTTTCAGGTGTAAAGGACAAGTGTAAGAAGACAACTTGTGTGTGTATTACACTTGCAATATTTTTAATTTTTAATATTATTCTAATTGTATTAGGTGAGTAAATTACACTTTTTATTTCTTTACTTATTTTTTTCTTTTGAATGATCATTTTCTTTTCTGCCTCAATCATGATTTTTTCTCATTATTCTTACTCTTTTCCCATTATTTGTGATTTAATGAGTATCAATGAATGGATTATTATGAATTACATGACCTATGTAAAGTATTGGGAGATGCAAAAATGATTAAGAAAAAATCATTCACCCTGATAATCTCCCATTCCACCCAACATTCCCAAAGCAGTGGCAATCACTACTTTGATTTCTGTTGCATAGGTTAGTTTTGCCCATTTAAAATTTTTTCTATAAGTAAGATCATACAATTTTATGTATTCTTTGCATCTTTTCTTTGTTCCATATCATGTTTGTATGATTCTTCCATGTCATAACATGTAGCAGAAGTTCATTGACTCATTGTTGAAGGGGGTTGAAAAAACTTCATGCAAAGAGCCAGATAGTAAATAAATTTGGCTTTGTCAGCCTTACAGTCTGTGTTGCAAGTACTCCATTCTGCATTTGTAGTGAAAATAGAGCCACACATGATATATAAACACTTGACCTTGCTGTGTTTCACTAAAATTAAACATGGAAATTTGAATATTGTATAATTTTCATGTGTCACAAAATATTACTCCTCTTTTAATTGTTTTGATTTTCTATTATTTATTATTGTGTCGATTATTTTTAAAATGTAAAAACATTTTTAGCTCTGATTTTGGCCTCAGGGTGTAGTTTTCGGATCCTCGCTGTAGAGTATCTCATGCTATATATTAATTTATTAATCACTCTACTTTTGATGGACATTTGGACACATTTTGACTACTGCAAATTATGCTGATTTGAACACCCTCATACTTTTAGACTTTTAGTGAATAGTGGGTATCGTTTAAGATATACTTATGAGAAGAATTAGTAAACCATGGAGTATGTGTAGGTCAGCTTTAGTAAATAATTCCATAGATTGTAGATAATCTAGCCTGAAGTTTATGACATACTGGTTGTTTAACATTGGGTCAACACTTTGTTGTCAGTTTTACCTATTTTAGCCATTCTGATGAGTGTGTGTTAATACCTTATTGTGACTTTAGTTGACATTTTCCTGATGACCAATACTGTTAAGCTCCTTGTTGTATTTATAGTTTAGTCGCAGTATTTTGTGACGGGTATATTCAAATACTTGGTCCATATTTTTATTGAGTTAACTTTGTTTTTTGTTTTGTATTTCTATTGTAAATATCTTCTACTATATAAATATAAGTATAGTAAAAAATTTTTATGAAGCTTACATTTATTTTCTATATGATGTCTTTCAATAAAGGGAAGTTCTTAAGTTTTCGGTAGTTTTAATTTTTTAAATTTTTTCTCTCTTTTTACTATGTTTTACATCCTGTTTAAGAAATTTACTGTACTCCACATGCATGAAGATATTACTCTAGAGTTTCCATTGTAACATTTATTATATTTTTACTAATTTCACACCCAGAACTATAACGCTTTTGAAATTGATTGTTGTGTTTGGGTATAATGTCAAATGTATTTTTCTTCATTCAAATAGCCTTCTGATCTGAAACAATTTATTGAAAAGTCCATAGTTTACTTTACAGTTCATTCCTGGTATTGTGCATCCTGAATTTGGAAAAATGTATAATGACATGTACCCTTCATTATATTATCCTACAGAGCATCTTTACTGCCCCAAAAGACTTCTGTGCCCCATGTATTCATCTCTCCTCAAACTCCAGCCACTGGCAATCACTAATCTTTCTACTGTCTCCATTGTTTTGACTTTTCCAGAATGTCATACAGTTGGAATCATATAGTATGTAGTCTTTTCAGACTGGCTTTTTTCACTTCTAATATGTATCTAAGGATCCCTTGTGTCTTATGGTTTGAGAGGTTTTTGTTTGTTTGCACTGAATAATATTCCATTGTCTGATGTATCACAGTTTATTTATCTATTCACTTACGGAAGAGCATCTTGATTGCTTCCAAGTTTTGGCAATCATGAATAAAGCTGCATGAACAACCATATGTAGGTTTTTGTGTGGACAGAAGTTTTCAACTCCTTTGGGTAAATACCAAGGAGTGCACTTGTTGGATTGTATGGTAAGAATGTGTTTAGTTTTGTGAGAAAACTCCAAATTGTATTTCAAAGTGCCTGTACTGTTTTGCATTCCCACTGACAATGGATGGAAGCTCCTGTTACTCCACCTCCTCGCCAGCATTCAGTATTGTCAGCGTCCTGGATTTTGACCATTCTAATAGGTGTGGAGTATCCCATTATTGTTTACACTGGCATTTTCCTGATGACGTGATGTGGAGCATATTTTCTTATATTTATTTGCCATCTATATATCTTCATTGCTGAGGTGTCTGTTCAGGCTTTTTGACCATTTATTCATTTATTAATTAGGTTGTTTCTTTTCTCATTGTTGAGTTTTAAGTGTTCTTTCTATGTTTAGATAACAGTCTTTCATCAGATGAGTCTTTTGTAAATACTTTCTCCCAGTCTGTGGTCTGTCTTCTCATTTGCTTGACATTGTTTTTCACAGAGCAAAAGTGGTTAATTTTAATGAAGTACAGCTTATCAATTATTGCTTTCATAGGCTGTGACTTTGGTGTTGTATCTAAAAAGTCATCACCTTATCCATGGTCGTTAAGGTTTGCCTCTATGAAATCTTCTAGAAATTTTTTTGCTTCGTTTTGTGTTTACATTTAGTTTGTTTTTACATTTACATTTGTTTTTAGTTTAGTTTTGTGTTTACATTTAGGTTTTTTATATGTTTTGAGTTAATTTTTGTGAAGGATGTAAAGTCTGTGTTTAGACTCATTTTTTTGCGTGGACTTGTGAATGTCCAGTTGTTCTAGCACCATTAGTTGAAAAGACTGTCTTAGCTCCATTATATTACCTTTGCTCTTTGTCCAAGTTCAGGTGACTACATTTGTGTGAGTCTATTTCTGATCTTTCTTCTCTATTACATTGATTTATTTGTCTATTCTTTCATTGATACTACACTGTCTTAGAGATTACTGTAGCTTTATAGCAAGTCTTGATGTTGGGTAGTATCAGTCCTCCAATTTTATCTTCTCCCAAATTAAGTTGGCTATTCTGTACTTTTTGCTTCTCAATATAAATCAATATAAATAGAACTAGTTTATTGGTATTCATAAATAACCTGCCTAGATTGGGATTTCATCAAATCTATGGCTCAAGTCCAGAAAGAACTAACATGTTGACAATATGGTGTCTTCCTAATTATGAACATAGAATGTCTCTCTAAAAACTATTTAGTTCTTCTTTGATTTTGTTCATCAGAGTTTTGTACTTTTCCTCATATAGATAATATAGTATATATTTTACTAGATTTATACATAAGTATTCAATTTTGGGGGGTTCTAATGTAAATCATATTTTATTTTTAATTTTAAATTACACTTCTTTATTTCTGGTACATGGGAAAACAATTGACTTTTGCATGTTAACCTGTATCCTCCAACCTTGCCATGATTATTTATTAGTTCAAGGAATTGGGGTTTTTTTTACTTCTTTCAAATTTTCTACAGAACAATCATGTCATCTCTGAACAAAGGAATTGTTTTGTTTTGTTTTTTAGTTTTTTCGGATTTTCTATAGAACAATCATGTCATCTCTGAACATCTCTCCTTTCCAATATGTATGCCTATGATTTCCTTTTCTTGCATTATTGCATTACACAGAACTTTTAATATAATGAAAAGTAGTGGTGAGAAGGGAAAGCTCATTCTAGTGGGAAAGCCTCCAGTTTCTCACCATTAAGTATTATATTAACTGTAGGGTATTTTTGTAAATAGTCTTTATCAAGTTGGGGAAGTTCCCCCTCTATTCCTAGATTCCTGGGAGTTTGTGTCACGAGTGTTAGGTTTTTGTCAAGTATTTTATTCATAGGATCATGAATCATGTGATTTTTCCTTTATAGCCTGTTGATGTAATAGATTACATTAATTGATTTTCAAATGCTGAACCAGCCTTGCAGATCTGAGATAAATCCCACTTTGTCATGGTATATAACTCTTTTTATATATTGTTGGATTCAATTTGCTAATATTTTGTTGAGGATTTTTGTATCTATGTTCATGAAAGATACTGGTCTGTAGTTTCCGTTTCTTATATCTTTGTCTGGTTTTGGTATTAGGGTAATGCTTGCCTCATAGATTGAGTTAGGAAGTAGCCCATCTGCTTCTATCGTCTGAAAAAGATTGTAGAGGATTAGTATAATTTCTTCCTTAAATGTTTGGTACAAATCACCAGTGAACCCATCTGGGCCTGGTGCTTTCTGTTTTGGGATAGTACTAATTATTCATTCAATTTCTTTAATAGCCTATTCATATTGTCTGTTTCTTCTCATTTGAGTTTTGAAAGATTGTGTTATTCAAAGAATTGGTCCATTTCATCTAGGTTATCAAATTTTGGGTCACTGAGTTATTCATAGTATTCCTTTATTATCCTTTTGATTTCCGTAAGATCTGTAGTGATGTCCTCTTTTTCATTTCTGATATTATTAATTTGAGTCTTTTTTTTTTTTTCATAGTTAACCTGGGTAGAAGATTTTATTGTTCATCAAAAAACAAGCTTTTGATTTTGTTGATTTTCTTTGTTAATTTCCTACTTTCAATTTCATTTATTTTTGCTGTAATCCTTATTATTTATTTTCCTCTGTTTAGTTAAGTTTAATTTTCTCTTATTAGTTTTTAAGATGAAAACTTAGATGATTGATTTTAGATCTTTTTCTTTTCTAAAGTATGCTTTCAATACTATATATTTTCCTGTAAGCTTTGCTTTCACTGCATCCCACAAGTTTTGATAAGTTGTGTTTTTATTTTTCTTTAGTTCAAAACATTTTCAAATTTCTCTTGAGATTTCTTCTTTGGTCCATGTGCTATTTAGACCTTTGTTGTTTTATCTACATGTTTTGGGAAATCTTTCATCTATCTTTCTGTTATTGACTTCTGGTTTAATTCCATTGTGATCTGAAAGCCGACATCATATGATTTCTTTTCTTCTAAATTTGTTAATGTGAGTTTTATGTTAATTATTAATTTAAATAACTTGCCAATCTTCATTTAGAAGTTTATGTAAGCATTCAGATTATCTGCAAATAGAAATGCTTTTATTTATTCTGTTGAAATTTTTATAACTTTCAGTGTATTGCCTTATTTTACTGGATTGAACTTCCAGTACAAGGTTGAAGAGAAGTAGTTAGGGTTGCATCCTTATCTCTTTCTTAAATCCATGAGAAAGTTTTAAAATATTTTTCCATTAAGAATGGTTATTTGTAGGGGCACTTGGCTGGCTCAGTCAGCTGAGCAACCAACTCTTGGTTTTGGCCCAGGTCATGATCTCAGGTATTGAAATTGAGCCCCATATTGGGGCTCCTCACTCAGCATGGAGTCTGCTTCTCTCTCTCCCTCTGCCTCTCTCCCTGCTCATGCTCTCTCTCTCTGTATCTCTCTGTGTCAAAAGAATACATAAAATCTTAAAAAAAAAAAGAAAAAAAGAAAAAGGTGTCAAATTACATAAAAATAAAAATAAAAAATAAAAAGCTTCTGCAAAGAAAATAATCAACACAACTAAAAAGCAAACTATGGAATGTGACAGGATATTTTGCAAGTGACATATTCAATTAAGAGTTAGTATCCAAAATATATAAAGAACTCATAAATCTCAACACCCAAAAAACAAATAATCCAATTAAAAATGGGCAGGAGACAAAAACAGACATTTCTCCAAAGAAGACATACATGTGGCCAACACACACCTGAGAAGATGTTCATTATCACTTATCAGGAAAATGTAAATCAAAACTACAATGAGATATGCCCTCACACCTGTCAGAATGGTTAAAATCAACAACACAAGAAACAATAGGTGTTGGTGAGGATGTGGAGAAAAGGGAATATTCATGCATTGTTGGTGGGAATGCAAACTGATGCAGCCACTTCGGAAAACAGTATGGAGGTTCTTCAAAAATTTAAAAATAGAACTATCTTATGATCCAGCAATCACACTCCTGGGTATTTACCTGAAGAATATGAAAACATTAATTCAAAGGGTACATGCACCCTTATGTTTATAGCAGCATTATTAACAATAGCCAAGATTGGTGTGGAAGTAGCCCTTGTGAACCATCGACAGATGAATGGATAAAAAAGATGTGATATATATATATATATACAATGGAATATAATTCAGCATGACAAAGAATGAAATCTTACCATTTGTAATGAGGTGGATGGAGCTAGAGAGTATAATGTTAAGTGAAATCAGTCAGAGAAAGACAAATACCATATGATTTCACTCATATGTGGAATTTAAAAAACAAAACAAACAAGCAAAGGGGAAAAAAGAGAGAGAGAGAAATCAAGAAACATACTCTTAATTATAGAGAACAAACTGATAATTATCAGAGGGGAGGGAAGTGGGGCATGGGTTAAATAAGTGATGAGGATTAAGAAGTGCACTTGTGATAAGCATGGGGGGATACATGGAAGTACTATATTGTACACCTGAACTAATATAACAATGTATGTTAACTAACTGGAATTAAAATTGAAAAAAAGAAAAAGGTGTTAAAAGTTTTACCTTCTAGGGGCGCCTGGGTGGCTCAGTTGGTTAAGCGACTGCCTTCGGCTCAGGTCATGATCCTGGAGTCCCTGGATCAAGTCCCGCATCGGGCTCCCTGCTCGGCAGGGAGTCTGCTTCTCCTTCTGACCCTCCCCCCTCTCATGTGCTCTCTCTCATTCTCTCTCTCTCTCAAATAAATAAATAAAATCTTTAAAAAAAAAAGTTTTACCTTCTATAGGTACTTGGCATCAGATGACTGTAGGTGATAATTTGTTTTATCTTCACATACCATAGATCACCAGCATCCCATTTATGACTGGTGTTTGAATCAATGCCTTTAAAATGAATCATGTGGACAATAAATACCGTATCTTATCCTTAAGGTTTTGTTCCTTTAGACCCACTTTTGGTACCCAAAACTGATTCACTCTGGGTGCCTTCAGGAAAATAGACACTGAAAAATGTTACAAGAATAGGACTTTAATATGGGATTTAGGAATAACATCACTGTGGAAGTAGTTGAGGAGTGATGGTCTGGAACGCTGTGTAGCTGGAGGAGAAATAGTCACTAATGATTTTGGCTTAAAGTGCTAATGAGTTTGTAGAACCAAAGATTAAAGGAAAGTCTAAAAATACATCTAGCTGCCAAGACTACCAAAGGCAAACTCATTAAAAGGCCTGTGAAGTTCCTATGCCCTAGGTCTCCCAGGATAAAAGTTTCTGCTTTACTTCCACCTTCAAAATCTCATGTGGGTTCTTTTCAGCATCTAACTCAGAGCCATACAGTGATAGTGGTACTTAGTTGACAATAAGCAATCAAACACACATATTGTTAATTATATATTCTGTTTTATTCTTTTAATTGCTTCCTTAGAAATTAAAACATGTGTCCTAGATTATAACAGTCTAATATAAATTAGTATTTTTATTACCCCCAGACAATGCTAGGATTTTGTTATATTTCACTTACCCAAAAGTTATATAGGTGACTTAACACAAGTAAAATCACACTGGTAGCCCTATGAAGGATCACAAGTTGAAGTTGAAAGGAATATCAGTGTCCTGTCAAATCCTGAACTGCTGTCATTTAACCTAACATGAAATTTGTCTTTCAACTTGTTGCATGATAGATATGCAATTCTGGTCATGATCAAAAACTTACATCACAATCTTGTCTTTCCCCATTGATCTCAAAATACAGAGGCGTATTATTTTATCTGGCCCTTAATGTATGTGTTTGTCTCATTTCCACTTTTAGTATTTACGAGTACTCAGGATTCCTGCCCAGATGATTGGATTAGTTTCCAAAACAAATGCTATTATTTCTCTAAAGAAGAAGGGGATTGGAATTCAAGTAGACACAACTGTGTCACTCAACGTGCTGACCTGACTATGATTGACACTGAGGAAGAAATGGTAATTTGATACGCAATTCTTATGCAATTTCTTAAGTAGGGGCATTGGGAATATTCAAATGGTAATATGATTTTTAAAATTTTTCACATGTCTGTCTATGCAGAAGATTTTTAGAACACGCCATGTGAGATGCAGTTGAAAAACTTGGTGATGTTTGGTTTGAATAGTGTAAGACTTTTATCAAGTAGTAGACTTGACAGGTATCTTTGTATTTTAAGGAGTATAAATAGAAGAACTTGATAATATTTGGAATCCTTTTAAAAGTCAGTACTCCATAAAGACAACTGTTTTAGGAAGGATGGGATTCTCCAATCTACCCCCTTTGAGGAAACTTCTTCTGACTTAGTCCTGCTTTGCTTTCTCTGAGGTCCCGTAGCAGCTTCCATCAGAGCACTCACTACCAGTAATTGAATAGATATGTAACTGAAAGTCTTAGACTGAAGCATGAGCTTCCACTGAACACACACTATGTTTTATTTGAAGTTGCCACATTTGCTATACCATAAAGGCAGGTACAAATTAAAAGCTTAATGGCCCTTTTTAAAATAAATATTGATTTACATGGCAAAAATCCTATATAAGTAAAGGAAATATCCTAGAACTTTAACAAAGGATTGTGAAACTACATACTTCTGCACTTGTGAAATCTGTTCTTCCCCTGAATCACTTATGTGATAAACATACATTTTTACTCTTGTTTAGTTTCTTTAAAAGTTAAGGGTCAAGATATGATTTCACTCATATGTGGATTCTAAAAAAACCAAATGAATAAACAAACAAAAAGCAGAATCAGACTTAGAAATACAGAGAACAAACTGATGGTTGCCAGAGGGAAAGGGGTGATAGGATGGGCAAAATGGGTGAAGGGGTGTGGGGGGTACAGGCTTCCAGTTATGGAAAGAATAAGTCACAGGAATAAAAGGCACAACATAGGGAATACAGTCAATGATATTGTAATAGCCTTGTATAAGTGACAGATGGTAGCTACACTTGTGATAAGTGTACCATAATGCATAAATTTGTTGAATCACTATGTTGTACCCCTGAAACTAATGTAATATTGTACATCATCTATACTCAAATAAAAAAAATAGGTAAGGGGTCAATATAAGCAGTAAGATAACTTGAATAATTTGCAGTTAAGTGTTTAAAATGTTAAGCAGCACAGCACAGCATTTAAAATTGTTAAAAGAGAATTCTCTTAATTCTGTGGTCAATAAAATACATTTACGTAATCTGCGCAAAGATTGGTTCAAATTTAAATGGATGTGAACCAGACAGGGACAATTTATAGTGCAAGAAAACTCAACTATTTTGGTTAAAACAAAAGGTATAGAAATCCAAATAAAACAAAAAACTAGGTATGTGAACAGTAGACACAGCAAATCAAGGAAGATGCAGACTCGAATTAATAGGAAGATCTTCTGTATGTAGTCAGTAGTTTCACTGCTGAATGTTGCAAGACTTTTGCAATGAACATTCTGAAAAATTCTTAAATTGTCCTTTATAGTTCCTCTTGGGGAAAAATGTCTAAATTTGCAACAAGATGGAAATATAATGAGTGCTAGTAAAAATTTTGAGAGGTAAAGAATTAACAAGGCAAATATTTTAAAAATCTTCACTTATAAGAATCTTGTCAGCAAAGGCTGACAAAAATAGTGAATATCATAGAACACAAAGATCAAAGCATACCAAAATAATTAGTTTTGAACTTAAGAGAAGTCATTAAACATATCAGTTAAGAATGATCGTACTCTTTGAATCAAGAAAAGAGACTTTGATCCTACAATTTCCTGATATATTTTGGAAGTCATAGATTCCTATATTTACTACATAATCTGGGCAAAATTTAAGTGACAAGCAAAATGAGGAAAAGCTGTCTGTGAAGGAGTGATAAAAATAATATATAGAAGAATTTTAAAGGACTGTTTATTTAAAACAACTTAATTAAAATATTATATATGTTTACTTAAATTACAAAATGTTTTCCTTAGTTAAAATGGGATATAGCTTGTTTCATGAAATATTTTTCATATTTACTTCCACTTATGTAAAGTTATCTTGCATCTTTAACAAGAAGCCACATGGGTATTCTTTTAGTAAGCAAATAATAATTAACATTTTTCTTAGGACAGGCTTTAGGAAACTTACATCCCTGTTCCCTGTCACTAAGACCACAACTACTGAAACTCATCCAATTTTCCCAGTTATCCAATAACATATACACTGTTGGTTGTCAATACATTTATCCTTTCTCACATTTTTCTCTGCCTTCAGGCAAGCTCTTCCCTAAGCCTAGAATATGAATTGTCCTCTTCTTTCTTGTTGTCTGTATTTATTATGGAATATTCTATTCTTCCCCTCCAGATACACCTCTTAGAGCACATCCTATATGCAAGTGCCTTATAAAGATTCAGATACTTCTGTCTTATAAACTAAAATTTCACTTTGTATTTATTACAGTCACATTCTTCTCCTTATCCAGGAGGATATTTTCTTTTTTTTTTCTTTTTTTCTTTTTTTTCTTAAAGATTTTATTTATTTATTCATGAGAGACAGAGAGAGAGAGAGAGAGGCAGAGGGAGAAGCAGGCTCCCAAGGAGCAGGGAGCCCGATGCGGGACTCGATCCCAGGACCCTGGGATCATGACCTGAGCCGAAGGCAGACGCTTAACCATCTGAGCCACCCAGGCACCCCAGGAGGATATTTTCTAACTCTATGTTTACATAAGTTTCTTCTCTATAAATGAAACCCTGTGAATCCAGGGACAGTGTTTAATTAATCTGTTCTTTTATAAACCCGAAGCTTAGCTCGATGAGTTAATTTTTTTTTTCAAATAAATTTATGAAATGCTGCAGAAAATGGTATATTAAAATGTCAAAAGTTATTATTAGTGTCACTGTTATAGACAGGAATGGACCATAATGTTGTGAACTTATCCCTTATATCTATCATAAAATTGAAACATGGAGTGATACAATGTCAAGTTTGTGGTTTCCCAGATATTTAGTGGCATAATAGACTCAGTGACTTTCTGTATATAATTGTGTGGTTAAAAAGGCTCCAAGCAGCAAGAAATTTCAACACTGAATGAATAAGGAGAGAAGGAGAAATATGAAGATAAAATTATATTTTTCCCCTGAATGATCTCTTTAGAAATAGAAATTTGGGGCAGAAAAATAAAATTTGAGAATTAAATTCTAAAGGAATTGGATATACGGAGGGTGTGTGTCTGTGTGTGTGCCCATGTGATCCTTTTGGGAGAGAATTTGAAGTAAAATATAACATTAAAATCAGTATAGTAGTATTTACTGGGAAGTGGAAAAACATTATAATAAGTATCTGATGATTAGAAAGGCTGTGTAAGAAGTCAGTTGCAAACGCTGGCTTTCTGGGAGTTTACGGTATTAAAATCCTGGAGGAATAGATTTGCATATTGAATATCTATCAATTTGGAATCAAAAAGTATCCTAAAGAAAACTTATCTCACATCTTTGTTTACAAGTAAGAAAACTAAGGGTCAGAAGGTAAAATGCTTTCTCAAAATCCTGTTGCTATTTTCTGGTGAAGCAGGAGTTGAACATTTGTTGCCTTGCTCCTCACAACCTGCAAAGCAAGGGATACACAATAGGTTGTAGTAAAAACTAAAAAATATATAAAATTTATTTCATCTCTAAAGGCATTTCTTAAGCGACACAAATGCACTTCTGATCACTGGATTGGGCTGGAGATGACAGAAAATCAAGCAGGACGATGGGTAAATGGAACCATATTTAACAAATGGTGAGTTTCTTTCTTTGGGGTATTATTTAAATTTAGATAGCACAGTCTTCTCCAAAACCTTTGCATTAGCTGCATTTCTCTAGAGCCCAAGGTTTGGGTGTGTGTTGGAAAAATGAGAGGGAAAACAGTATCATGTATTGAGATTAGTTCCAAGAATCAACCAGGGAGGTTGGAAATCAGGATATAAGAGGGAAGATCTTAGTTGGTTATTTTGAAAATAAAGACCGGTGATTCATAAACACAGACCAAAAAAAAAAGAAAAAAATCCAAAAAACATTTGCCTGATTTTAACCTATATTCTCCAATTTATATCTATTCTTCAAACTTCATGCTACCTGTTTGTTTACATCTTTTACAGTTCAAGTTAAACTTGTTCATTTTTACCTGATTTTATTTGGCCTTCATATCTTCCACTTTGCAACATTTACTGCACAAATGACCTCCACATAACCACCCTAAATGGTGACTGCCAGCCACTTAGCCACTTAGTTTATAATAGAATTTCTCAACAGCAACACAACTGACATTTTGGGCTGAATAATTCTTTGTTGTGGGGAGGGGGTGCTGTCTTGTGCATTTTAGGATGTTAGCAGCATCTCTGGCTTCTACCTATTAGGCAGTCCTCCCCCCCCTCCACTTATGACAACCTAAAATGTCTCCAGATGTGGCCAAGTGTGTGTTGGGGGGTGGGGTGGGGAACACAAAGCAAAATCGCCTTTTGTTAAGAACTATTGGTTTATATAAACTGGTAGTTCCACTGATTACACATAACTATCTTAATGTCAGTTTAACAGGTATAAATTCTTGGAAGAGGAACTCTTATGGTCTGATTTGGTAGATATCTTCCCCTTAGCAAGAGAGGACACTGCCACAGCACACTTTTTCAGGACTCTGGACAGATATTTTTTTAAATGGGGTCATTGAGCAAATGAGAAATCACAGGATTTTTTTGGTACATGGTGTTTAATCCCTTTATCGTAGGTTTTCTGTGAGAGGAAATGAAAAATGTGCTTACCTCGATGATGATGGTGCAGCAACAGCTAGATGCTACACAGAAAGAAAATGGATTTGCAGGAGGAAAATGCACTAACTTAATGTTTCCATAGTGGAATTGCAACATTGGTACCATGATTTTTGTAATTCTTTTTTTCTTTCCCTCTGTATAAGTTAACTTTCAACACTTCACTGCTTTAATGTTCTAGCTTGATAATACATCTTGATAATTGTCAAAATAATTTCCTTCAACTTATTTTTCTACTTTTCAAGGCCTGGATCTTTTCTGTATCAATTTTAGAAGACTCCTGTAATTAATTTCACAGGACCTATAGATCAATTTGGAAAGTGTTGTATTTATAATATTATTTCTTATTCATTTATAATATATATCTTATATTGGTGTTTGTCTTCTTGTATGATTTATAGTTTTTCTAACCAGTCACTGCATGTTATTTATTATATGTGTCCCTATTAAATGTATCTGATGTTTATGCTGTTGTAATTATGTAATTTTATTATTTTTTATAATAGTTACTTTTATATATGGAAATGTAATTCTTTGTGTTATTCTTCTCCTGTTCAACATATATTCTGAAAGCTCATAATTCTAATAATTTGTGGATTCTTTTAAATATTGTAAAACATAGCACCTAATAATAAGTTTTATTTTTTTCTTAGAACTATTACTTAATTTTTGTATAATTAAAATGTGTAGAACTGCCAAGACAATATTGGCAGTGAACATTATTAATTTGTTTCACATTTTAAAGAAAATTCTTCTAATATCTTCTTTTTTAAAATATTTTATTTATTTATTTGAGAGAGAGAGAGAACAATAAGGAGAGAGGGAGGAGCACACTCCCCACTGAGCAGGAAGCCTGACATGGAACTCAATCCCAGGACCCTGGGATTATGACCTGAGCCAAAGGCAGATGCCCAACTGACTGAGCCACCCAGGCACTCCACTTCTAACATTTCAACACTATCAGTCTTTTATTTCATTTTTATGCACTTTTTTTAAGTTAAGGCAGTTCTTCTATGTTCCTGTTTCCTAAAAAAATTTTTTCAATAGAAAGGGACTTTGAATTTTCTTAATGTTTTTGTTTCCTTCATCTATTTTGATGTTCTTCCTTAATCTTTCAATGTGGTAAATGACAAAAGTTTTCTAATATTAAATAACTATTTTGAATTCCTAGATCAAATTCAACTTGGCTATGGTGTTATATTTATTCTAAGTTGATTTATTCTGATATTTATTTTTTAATATTCCTATGCCTAAATTCATTAATGTGATTGCCCTAAAATTTTCTCTGGGGGGATTATTGGGATTATTGTTTCAATAATTCAAAGAAGATGTGTTGTTTTACATTTATGGTATAAAATTGTGAATGGTAAGTTTAATATGTCTAAAAAATTAATTATTGTTCATATTTTGTGCATATTTTAGATTAGATTTAGGTTTGTGATCATCAGTGTACCCCAGCACCAATCTTTGAGAGTCACGGGAAATCAGACTCGAACATAAAGACCAGTTCAAACATTGGTGAAAATGGTTACTGGCATTCTGCTAAGGTTATTACCACAAAACAAATAAACAACACTACACACCAGCAAAGGATCATGGAGATCAAGGATAGCAATGTCACCTCAAAGGGTAACTTTTGCGACTAGGTCTGGAACAAGTTGAGAGTCAAAATAGAGTATACAAATTGAACAAAATATGAAAGTGAGAGTCCACAAAGATACAAATACAAAAATGAATACATTGAGATTCTGATGAAGAATGGGATATTTACAAAGTCTAAAAGTACCTTCTGTCAAAGCAAAAATTGCACCAAACAATATTACACAGGAAAAGACTTCATTCAATGTTATGACAATAGGGACATAGGCGAGAACTCGGTCTGAACTAAAATCTGCTGAAACAGAAGACAGCAAGGTTTTGCAGAGCTGGGGCGAGGGAGGAGATCATACACCATCTGTGTCTGCTAAACAGCTGTACCCAGAGGCAAATTAAACTTTTTCAGGTCTTCATGATAGGAGAGAGTTTTACAACTTGGATCTAGATGCCCACTGAAGTTAGCCTCCTACCTTCCCACAGAAACTAAGAAATAGAGGTGCTACTTTTCTTGATGATTACATTTCAAAGGAATGACTCTCTGGTCCTTAAGAGAGACACTTCTGGGTTGAAAAGCCTTTAAAAAGCTTTTTGAAAGATTTGCATCTCAAAGAAGCGGAGACAGAATTTCCAATTACAAGTTTCCTCAAGTAAATGGTCTAAAAATGAGGAGGTCAGGAAGAACAAAGCTTTTCTAAAATTTAGTTAAGCTGAAGGGAATGTAAAAACCATCTTGGTCACTGTCCACAAAATATTAATTAATTACAAAGGGAAAAGAGAAACTTTACAGTGAAGTCTGATAGACATCAGATTAAGCATGTGAACAAAGTCAATAGCATCAACAATGGAACAAATAAATGTGTGTGCCGTTGGAAAGGATGCAGTGAGAACTTCTCACTGTTTCTGCCAAGGAGCAGTTGAATATAACCATGAGAAATAATCAGACAGATTCAAATGGAAGAACATTTTGCAGAATAACCGCGTTGTAGTATTCAGAAGTGTCAAGTTGTGAATAGCAAGGAAGGCTAAAGAACTCTTCTAGATTTAAGGAGATTAAAGAGACATAATAACTAAACGCAGAAGATGATTCTGAGCTGGATCTTTTACTCTAGAGACAATTGGCAAACCTTAAAGAGAGTCTGAGAATTAGATGGTAGCACTGTGTCAGTGCTAGTTTGTTAATTTTGATCATTATTTGTGATTAAGTAAGGGATTTTTTTGTAGAAAATGTACACAAAAGTATCCAATGATACTTGAAATTTTATAATAAAATGTATCAATCTGACAAGTAATTCTCAAGAGGTTCAGGAAGAAGGAAAGTGCTTTTGTGCTGTACCTGTAATTTTATGTTTATGATAGTTTCTAAATTTAGATTAAAATTGTATAAAATCTAAAGAAAACAACATATTTAATGCTTTTGAGTCATAAAATACAGTTTTAAGGTTTATATCAAAGAAATAACAGGTATTACTTTTAAAAAAGATATTCAGAATGTTTACTGCAGCATAGTTTACAGTAGAAAAAACTTGAGAACAAAGTTAATGCTCATCAAGAAAACAGTAAAAAAAATGTATAAATCCATACTAAAGCACAACTCAGAATTATATGAAATTTGCATAGGATATTGTTACAAATTAAACAAGCACAATACAGAAAAGCAGATATAATTTGACCACATTTGTTGTAAAATGAAAAATGAAAAAAATCTTGAGTATGAACGCATGGACTCACACTGGATTATATTACCACGTAAAACATTGAAAGGGAATATTTTAGATTGTTTACATGGGGTACTCTAAGGTTAGAACCAAGGTAGATGATGGAGGGAAGATGGAGAAGACATTTTGTTGTTTAATTGCAATTCTATTTTTTAATTGTAGTTTTAAATTCTTACTCCTTAAGATTAATATTAGAACCTAATTGGCAAAAAAACTTTGATCATTGATTATTGATTGATTGACAAATCCATTTGAAAACACTGCTGCAGGTTTCAGAATAAATTTTGTTTTCCTTGGTGGCAGCACAGCTATTTTCTTTAGCTGGTCCTTTTATGAAAAATCTGTAGAAGAAGGGATAAATTCATTGTTAATCATTGTTGCCAAAGACATCCATTTGGGTTTTCAACTAATACCCTCCCTTAATTGAAAGGCCATTCAGATTTTAGGGCATTTTCAAATCCCTTGATTCACTAAAAGTTACAATATCTCTGTAACTTAGTCTTATTCTCTGTGATTTGCACAGAGTTCCCAGAGAATCTGTTAGAAATGACAGAGCTAAGAGTAAATCTGTGTCCATATCTCTGTTCTAGTCTTCTTTCCATTTTTTTATATGGTGTAGTCTTTAAACAATAAATGCACAATGATTACTGTTTTCAAATCTTTTTGCTTTGAAAACAAAACCAAAATATCCATCATGATTCCAGTGAACATTAAATCAATTTTCATCCTTTCAAATTCCTTAGTATCAAAATTATTTCAGAGTTGATTTTGGTGGACTTAGAGGTGTTTTATGGAGATAAGTTGTACAATAGACAGTAAATCAGACAGTGTTTTTGGACTCACGTCTTTGAATCTAATGGAGAACCATCCACCCAGGTCCATGTCCTCTTCAGTGATGTAAAGTTAAGCCCAATCCACACATAGTTTGTTTGTTTTAGGTTTTTCTGTATAAAAGCCTAAAAAGTAACGAGTAACTAAGTGAACAGAATATTTTAATAATGTAGACATACTAATTAAGATTTAGAATTTTATTGGACAATTAGCATCCTACATGAATATTCTTATACTAATCAATTCATAACTTATTTACACACACTATATATTTATTACATACACTATATATTTATTACATACATACACATACATATATATCACTTGTAAATTGAATACGAATGTTCAGCCCAGGACTAGCATAAGTCAGGTGAAGCACTGGCATTGAGCACAAAAATTAGGAGGGTGCCAAAAACTCGGTGATTGAGATAAATGATAATTTAATGGAAGGGTGGGAAGAAATTTGAGAAAAGCCATTTTTTAAAAAGATTTCATTTATTCATTGATTGATTTTAGAGAGCCTGAGAGAGAGAGAGAGAGTGTGTGTGAGAGAGGGGAGGGGCAGAGGGGGAAGGAAAGAGGGAATCCCAGGCACACTCTGAGTGTGATGCCCCCATCAGCTTGATGTCAGGACCTTGAGATCATAACCCTGAGATCATGACCTGAGCTGAAATCAAGAGTCAGATGCTTAACTGCCTGAGTCACCCAGGCACCCTTGAGGAAAGCCATTTGTTTTTCATTCATTTAGCATAATTTTTTTTAATTCAAGTAATTAACATAGTGTATTATTAATTTCAGAGGTAGAGTTTAGTGATTCATCGGTTGCACATAACACCCTGTGATCATTACATCAACAAAGCAGTAAAAAAATGTATAAATCCATACTAAATCCCTCCTTAATGTACATCACCCATCTACTCCCACCCCCAACCCCCTTCCCCTCCAGCAACCCTCAGTTTGTTTAAGAGTCTATGATTAAGAGTCTCTTATGGTTTGTCTTCCTCTCTGATTTTGTCTTGTTTTATTTTTCCCCCCCTTCCCCTATGATCCTCTGTTTTGTTTCTTAAATTCCACATATGAGTGAGATCATATGATAATTGTCTTGAGGAATACCATTTTTAACTGCACAGAGATTAATGTCATAACCCTGACACTAAATCACTTACCATTTCAAGTTGGTCCTGAATGATTGGTAGATGAGATTTTCTTCCCAAACAATACCCATAACTGTCACTCCAACTTTTCATCTCATTAGAGAACCAATAACACTTTTTTTGATATTTGAGCCATTCAGACGGGCACAACCCTATAGGGAAATGGAGGAAACAAAGAAAATTAAGTTACATATGTATTCAATGAAAATTGAATACTTCTGTGTCGTATAAATAAGAGTGGAGCTGTACGATAAAATCACTCTAACAAAGTGCTCAGATTTAAAAGATGTCCATATTACAAATGATAATTCACGGGAATTAAGAAATTAATTTCATAAGATGAAGCAAAACTTAGACAAAAGAGGATTTCTTTTTTATGCCCAGTTCTAATGTAATTACTAAAATAACATGAACCATTTAAGCTGTAAATTACATTAATGCTACTTGTGAGATTAAATATTATTTATACCATTCTCTTAGAATTTAATCATATAAAGCTTTAAGATTTCTCTCCTTGTCTTATGTGCATAAATCTTCCCTTAATAACTCTTTTTTGATATTAAATAGTATCAAAAATAATAGTTTTTCAGCCCCTATATAATTGCAAGTTGAAGTTCTTTGATTTTCTTAAATTAAATTAAACTGAGGTCTTCAATTGAAAATATCTGAGATTTTGGAATAATAACGAGAGAAAGTAAATTGTATGAATAAATATGAGTTCAGGTCAGTATAACTATTCAAACTTATGGCCATTAAAATCTCCCTTCTTTTTTTTTTTAAGATTTTATTTATTTATTTATTTGACAGAGAGAGACACAGCGAGAGAGGGAACACAAGCAGGGGGAGTGGAGAAAGAGAAGCAGGCTTCAGGCTGAGCAGTGAGCCCGATGCAGGGCTCTATCCCAGGACCCTGGGATCATGACCTGACCCAAAGGCAGACGCTTAACGAATGAGCCACCCAGGTGCCCCGAAAAATCTCCCTTCTTTATTGAAGTAAAATTCATATGACATAAATTCACCATTTTAATCACCTTAAGGTGCAAATGCCATGGATTTTATTACATCCACAATGTGCAAACATAACTACTATTTAATTCCAAAATATTTTCATCACCCCAAAATGAAACCCTGTAAATATTAAGCAGTCATTATTCATTCTCCCCATCCCATTAAGTTTTAACATTGGAAAATGTAAATCTTCCAAATTAATTCTTCTTTTTCAAGATTATTTTTGTTATTCAGGATTTCTTCCAATTTCACATGAATTTTAGGATCACCTTGTCCATTTCCACAAAAAAAGGCCATTGGAATTTTGATAGGAATTTCTTTGAATCTACAGAGCACTTTGCTTAGTATTGCCATCCTAAACAAATTGTGGATCTATACAAACAGAGGAATGTTCTTCAGTCAGAAAAGGGAATAAAGGGGCGCCTGGGTGGCTCAGTCGTTAAGCGTCTGCCTTCGGCTCAGGTCATGATCCCGGGTCCTGGGATCGAGCCCCGCATCAGGCTCCCTGCTCGGCGGGAGGCCTTCTTCTTCCTCTCCCTCTGCCCCTGCTTGTGTTCCCTCTCTTGCTGTGTCTCTCTCTGTCAAATAAATAAATAAAATCTTTTAAAAAAAAATAAAAATAAAAAAATAAAAATAAAAAAAATAAAAAAAGAAAAGGGAATAAAATGCTGATATATGATAGAACATGGATGAACCTTGAAAACATTATGCTAAGTGAAAGAAGCAAGACACAAAAAGTGAAATATTGTATGATTCCATTATATGAAAGTCCAAAATAGGTAAATCCACAGAGACAGGAAGCAGATTAGTGGTTGCTAAAGGCTGGGGGAGAGGGAATGGGGAATTGCTTACTGGGAATGGGATTTCTTTTTGGGTGATGAAAATGTTTTGGAACTAGATACCGTCATTGAACATTCATATGTCCTAATGAATTGTTTTATTTTAAATGGTTAACTTCATGTTTGTGGATATTTCCTCAATTAAAAAAGAAGAAAAAAGTAATAAGAAATTAATATCTTACAACCTGATATACAGTATTTAGACATTTTAATAAAAGTTTAATTGTGTCTATATGATTCCACGTTTACCTATCAAAGCTTTCTTACCTCTGAAAAAGTTCCATTATAATACCCAACATAATGACGAATTAGCTAGTGAGAGTCTAAAATAAGTGTTAAAATTACAGTATTTCAATTAGTTTGGGACTTGTAAAACAGATAGATAATCCAAAAGAAAAGAGTATCAATAAGTAAACGATAATATATATGACATTTTCATATGTGATAAGGAGAACAACACAAACTAGTGGATTAGAGAAAATCCTTTTTTTAAAAGATCTTGTTTGTTTGTTTATTTATTTATTTATTTATTTATTTATTTATTTATTTATTTATTTAGAGTCAGGGGCAGAGCAAAGAGAGAGGGAGAGAGAGAACTCCAGCAGACTCCCCACAGAGTGCTGAGCCCTACTTTGGGCTTTATCCCAGGATCCCAAGAGCATGACCTGAGCTGAAAGCAAGAGTCCAACGCCTAACCGACTGAGCCACCCAGGCGCCCCTAGAGAAAATCCTTTGATAAATAATTATAAAATAAATTAATCTGCACATTTCTCACATATACTATAAAACGAATTGTTGAAGGCCCAAAAAGTTAAGCACTTTAAAGTTAAACTAAAACAAAATTGGAAGTAGAAGGGACAGTTTTCTAAAATTTTGTATAATTGGAAGTTATAAGCGTAAAATCATAATGAATCATTCATGTGTATAGTTACTTGTATTCATTTTGTACTTCAAAACTGAATAAATAAGAGACAGAAATAGTTAGTTACATACTGCCTTATAATCACAATTAACTTTCTGTATTTGTGTGATTCAATTTGATTTTAAATTCCTAAAGGGAAGAGCCTCTTTGTTATGTTCTTTTCACTGATACCTATCCTCCCACCACAAAAAGAGTAATAAATCATATGTATATATGAAGTTTTGAATGAAAAGTAGATGGATATCGAATCTTTATTTGTTAATGTAATCTGCATAACTGTTAAATAGGATTTTTCAAACTTAGAAAGCCAAAAGAATTTTATAGGCCAAAGTCTTGAGAGATACCTGAATGGTCTGTAGCTTTTGAACCACAGTGGCTTGTGTCCTTACTACTTATATTTCCTCTCGTGCCACTGTTCATTTTCAGGTTTCCAATATCATCATGTTGGGTGATATTTGAATTCTTTGCTTCTTGGCATTTTAGCAATATTCCCTGAGAAACTTAAAAACAGAATTATTTTAACATTGGGTAAATATCTCCTCCCTGTGCAGTGCTCCAGACACAGATGCTTTGGAATGATTCTGATGATTGGAACAAGAAACAACTGAAGGGATAACTAGAAAGTTTCTTTCTTATTTTCATTTTATTTAATGAAAAATAATTTCAAATACTACATAATTAATTCACTTATAGAATACATATTTGTTGAGGATCTATTCTGTGCCAGGCATCATGCTAAGAACTGGTGAAACAGTAGTAAATGAAGCAAAATTTCCACTCTAGGGAGTATACATGCTCTTTCCATACCTTCTTAATGTCATGATTTTGCTGAAACCAACGACACTGTGCTTAGCCCGTTCTACCATAATTACTTATTTAAAGTCTATTTCTTTCACTAGAGATTTATCACCATGATTATTCCTTTTTTGGTTTTTTGGTTTTGAGTGCTTTTTTTAATTTCAGAAATTTGTAGTAATGCTTGGGGTATAGTAGTATAAAGTATAAACTAAATACAATCTTAGATACAACATGTAAACATTTTTAAGAAAAATCATGAAATTCTATTCACAGGTTTCTAAGAAATCCAAAAATGTGGTTTCCCAATACACATCACACACACACACACACACACACACAATTTTCTTCCTTTTAGATTGTATGCCGTTTGAGGACAAGATACCTGATTTGCCTACATATTAAATACATTGCTATGGAGTAGAGTATATGGCTTTATACATAGTAGCTTCTTATTAAGACTTTGTTAACAAAAAAATGAACAAATGAATGAATGAATACGAAAAGAGTCATAAGAAAATAGTAAACATTTTCTATATTTTTATTTAAGATCTTTTAACTTACCCAGTAAAGACAGGGAGATCAAAGTCAGAACCAGAATACCATTTACTGTTCCAGATATCCCCAATAAGATTTTATACCAGTGCAACATCACAGAACAATCTGAGAGATTAATCACATGAATTAGCTCAGAAAAGTACATTTCCAAGAAGTGAAAGCAACTATAATAATAAGATTGCATATAGTACTGGTTTTGAATCTTAAAGGGTAGTAGGCAATCAAAAGCTTAAAACCTAAATAAATAGGAAAATGTATACCTATTTTATTTAGTAATGGTAATACTGCATATGGAGAGCAGTTATGATGCACGTTACATTGAATCTTAAGAAATTGCTAATATTTTACATAATAGACCTAGTGGATAAAGAATTTTAATGTATACGCCTAATAATTCCCCAAGCGTGCATGCACGTGCACACACACATGCTCATGTGCACTTACAGATACACACATATATGGTCCCATTTCCATAGTGTAGTGGTTATCACGCTCGCCTCACAGATACACACATATATATTCACATAAGTATATACTTTCTAATTAATAATTTGCTTTAATGTAATATTCACAAGTCATTCAACCTATTTCATCTACTAAGGATGTAATACAAATCAGAACTAAATATGACTCCTGATACTTGTTCTTTTAACCTAAAAAAATCCTAAAATCTTTTCTAACCAATGCAATAATGACGTTTCAGCTTCTCATTAGATGGTGAACTCTTTAAGAGTGATAACTTATTTTTCATATGCTTACGCTGCTATCTTAGAGATAAGATGTGCATTCAGTGATGGCTATTAATGAGTGAAAGGATATCATAATAGAGAAAGTAAATAGTCTCACTCAGGGCTTCAAGTATATATGTTGCTATTTTTCTCAACCTCATTAAAAAGGACTTAGCTTAGGGAAGCTGAAGCCGGGAAACATGGTGGCCGCGTGTTTTCTCAGCAAGAGTTTGACTACCCTGGCAGGGTTGTTGCTTTTGTCCTTCGGCACCTTGGCCGCTAGTCAGATCGAGCATCAAGCAGAACAGTTCTTTAGAAGTGGCCACACAAACAACTGGGCTGTTTTGGTATGTACATCCTGGTTCTGGTTTAATTATTGGCATGTTGCAGATACTCTCTCTTACAGAAGTGTCAAGAGGCGAGGTATTCCTGACAGTCACATTGTTCTGATGCTTGCAGACGATATGGCATGCAACCCTAGAAATCCCAAACCAGCTACGGTGTTTAGTCACAAGAATATGGAACTAAATGTGTATGGAGGTGATGTGGAAGTGGGTTATAGAAGCTATGAGGTAACTGCGGAGAATTTTTTATGGGTATTAACCGGCAGGATCCCACCTAGTACTCCTCGCTCAAAACGTCTTCTTTCTTAGGATAGAAGCAATATTCTTATTTATATGACAGGACATGGTGGAAATGGTTTCTTGAAATGTCAAGGTTCTGAAGAAATTACCAACATAGAACTTGCAGATGCTTTTGAGCAAATGTGGCAAAAAAGACGCTACAACGAGTTACTGTTTATTATTGATACTTATCAAGGAGCATTCATGTATGAACGATTCAATTCTCCTAACATAATGGCTTTAGCTAGTAGCCAAGTGGGAGAAGATTCACTCTCGCATCAACCTGATCCTGCAATTGGAGTCCACCTTATGGATAGATACACATTTTATGTCTTGGCATTTTTGGAAGAAATTAATCCAGCTAGCCAAACTAATATGAATGACCTTTTTCAGTTATGTCCTAGAAGTCTCTGTGTGTCTACCCCTGGACATCGCACTGATCTTTTTCAGAGGGATCCTAAAAATTTCCTGATAACTGATTTTTTTGGAAGCGTACGGAAAGTGGAAATTACAAGAGAGACTATTAGTTTGCAACCAGATCTAGAAATCATGGAAAGCAGATATAAGAAAGACTGGATGGATGAGGAACTCGTGGAACCACTGAAATAAGCTGAACAACTTCCTGTAGCTCAGATAATTCACCAGAAACCAAAGCTGAAAGATTGGCATCCTCCTGGCAGTTTTATTCTGGGATTGTGGGCATTTATTACAATGGTTTTCTTCAAAACTTATGGAATCAAGCATATGAAGTTCATTTTCTAGATGTGATGTGTGAAGAAGACGGCATGGAAGACTGCAACCTTGGATAAAATTTTATGTCATTATGCTTTTTAAAAAATACATTGTTTTTGTGTGAATTGGGCAAAAAGTATAGGGAAACTAAATTTGAATGAACTATTGATTTTATAACTTAAAGATAAATAACTGTTAATGCAAGTGCTAAGTGGCACTAATTATACTTATTTTTTGTTGTGCATGTTATTAAAAAGATTGAACAAAGAAAAAAATAAAAAATAAATAAAAAGAACTTAGCTTATGGAATTGTATGAGTAGTTTATACTGAGTAAATGAACATCTATATTTTACATAATAGTTTATGTCATCAAAGATAATTTTTATAAGTGCATCACAATAATTAATAAGGAACCACTCCCCATAACTATGATTAAACTTAGAGTTCAGTCAATAAATTGAGTTATTAGTACTGAAATTTGTGTTCCAAATACCCTTTAAATCTACGGGAATTAAAAAAACCACATTTGAAGATGCTAAACTCTGTCAAGAAAAAGCATAATAAATCATATGAAACAGTATGTCAGAGAACTAGTACACAGTTTTTATCTTATAGTATTGACAAAGATCGTAAAATAAGATTTATTATAATTCAATTAATGACTACCCTGCATTTCCCAGATTATTTTCTAATATTTTAATATATTAAATTTATAATCAATAAATTCAAAGTGTTCAGCATATGTAAAAAATGTCATTTATTCACTTAAAAAAATCAAACACATGATTATCAGAAAACATTAGGAGAAAAGATGTGGAAGCCGTTTCAGATTCAATTCAGACTCAATTATTTCTCCCAAGTATCATGAATTGAGCTTTACAGTATGAATTTGAGGCATATTAAGGCTTACAATTTTGGAGGAAATAACATTTTCATTACCTGTGTTTTCTCCTGTAGAGAAGTTGTAGAGAATTCTCCCATATAGAATTTAACTTACCAATCTTTTAACATCAGAAAATAAAAATAAAAATAATTTAAAAACAAAAAGCCCTACAATCAGTCACTCCTAAATGTCCATACAAAAATCTTAAATATACTAATAGTAGCCAAAACATACCTCTACCATGGTGGGTTTATTCTAGGAATACACGGGTTGTTCAATAGTAAGAAATTCATTTTATCTTATTAATAGAGCTAGAGAGAAATGTATCATCATCCCAATAGATGTAGAAAGTGCAATTGATAAAATCCAACAACTTTATGTTAGAAAATAAAGCAGGAATTGATGGATACTTGTTCAATATGCACAAGAGTTTGTTGTTGTTTTTTTTTTTGATCTAATTAAGTTAATTGAGAAACGCTGGAAGTTTTCCACAAAAGCTTGGAAAAAAATTAATTAACTTTAGTATAAAGGTTAAAAGAAAATATTCTTAAAAGTAACTATAGATACAATAATTTGCTAATGAATATACAATATAAAAAGAGGTAAACCGTGACATCAAAAACATAAAAGGCAGGCATTAAAAAGGTAGAATTTTTGTATGCAATTGAAGTTAAGCTGTTATCAGGGTAAAATAGACTCTTATATCTATAAGATGTTTTATATAAGCCTCATGGTAACCACAAAGCAAAACCTACAGCAGATGCACACATTAAAAGAAAAGGGAACCAAAGCATACCACTATGAAAAATCAATTCACAAAGGAAGACAGAAGGAGAAGGAGAAAGGAATAAGGGAATTACAAAACAGCCAAATAACAGGTAATAAGATGGCATTAGTAAGTTTTTTTCATATGAAGAATTATTCTAATTCTAAATGGATTCAATACTCTAATCAAAAGACATGGAGTGGCTGGATAGATTAAAAAAACAAAACAGGACACAACTACATGCTGTATACAAGAGACTCACTTCATCTTTAAGGATACAGGTAGGCTCAAAGAGAAGGCATAGAAAAAGATATTCCATGCAAATGGAAACTAAAAGAGAACAGGGGTAGCTATACTTATATAAGACAATGCAGAGTTTAAGTCAAAAACTGTAACAAGAGACAAAGAAGGTTATTATATAATGATAAAGGGATCAATTTATCAAGAGGATATAATAATCATAAATATATATGCACCCAACACCAAAGTAGCGAAATACATTAAACAAATATTAACAGATGTGAAAGGGAGAAATTGCAATGCACTAATAACAAGGGACTTCAATACCTCACATTCAATAATGATAGATCATCCAAACAAAAAATCACTACAAAAATCTGGGATTTGAACTATTACTTTAGAGCAAATGGACCTAGCAGACATACAGAGAACATTCCATCCAACAACAGCAGAATACACATTCTTCTCAAATGCACACAGAACATTCTCCAGTATAGATCATATGATAAGTTACAAAACAAGTCATGGCAAATTTAAGAAGATTGAAATCATACCAAGGATTTTTTTTCCAATGACAATGGTATGAAACTACAAATCAAGACAGCAGGATAACTGGAGAATTTACAAATATGTCAAATAAAGCAACACAGTCCTGAAAAACTAACAAGTCAAAGAAGAAACCAAAATGGAAATTTTTAAAAATCTTGAAACAAACATGAAAAAACAACATAAAACTTAGAGGATGCAACAAAAGCACTTGTAAGAGAGAACTTTATAGCCATGAATAACTACATTTACATTAAAAGAAAGATCTCAAATAAACTATCTAAATTTAAACCTCAAGGAACTAGAAAAAAGGGCAAACTAGAGGGAGAAAATATTTGAAAATTATATAACTCTCTGATAAAGGGTCTATACCCAAAATATATAAAGAACTCTTACAACTTACACAACTCAATTAGAAAAACAAACAAACGGGCACCTGGGTGGCTCAGATGGTTAAGCGTCTGCCTTCGGCTCAGGTCATGATCCCAGGGTCCTGGGATAGAGCCCCGCATCGGGCTCCCTGCTCGGCAGGGAGCCTGCTTCTCTCTCTCTCTCTCTCTCTCTCTCTCTCTGTCTCTCATGAATAAATAAATAAAATCTTTAAAAAAAAAAAGAAAAACAAACAAACAATCTTATTTTAAAATGGGCAGGGGATCTGAATAGACAGTTTTCCAAAGAAGACCTACAAATGGCCAAGTATGTGAAAAGTTATCTAACGGCACTAATCATCAGGGAAATGCAAACAAAACCATAATAAGATATCACTTCACGTCTGACAGAATGGCTACTATCAAAAACAGATAACTGGTGTTGATGAGGATGCAGAGAACTTTCAACCTTTGCACACTGTTGGTGAAAATGTAAGATGGTGCAGTCACTACGGAAAACAGTATGGCAGTCCCTCAAAAAATTAAAAAGAGAGCTACCATATGATCCAGCAATTGCATTTCTGGGTATATCCAAAAGAACTGAAATCAGTATTTCAAAAAGATGTTTGCACTCATGTTCATCGTGGCATAGAATGGTACAATCCTGTGGAGGGATATTTGGGGGAAAACTAGCAAAATTACATAAGCATCTACATTGGATCCAGCAATCTTTCTTCTAGGAATACATTACAGTGACATATTGGCAATATATGAAAAGACATATGTGCAAGCATTGCAATGTTATTTATAATAGGGATATAATAGAAAAAGAATGCAAACATCTTAAGTGTCCAGTAATGAAACTAGTTGAATGAACTATGGTACATCCACTTAATAGAGAAATGTTAGGCTGTATATAGGATTAAAGTGTGTGGGAAGGAGAGAGCAGGGTGAAAACAGCAAGACAGAAGCTGGATCTTTGGGAGCTGGAGATGTCTGGAAGTACCTTGCTATATAGGTTTGACTTTGAAAATATATAAATGTTTTAAATAATTATAAAATGATTCTAATATATAATAGGCATTATGTATATTGTTATGATTGCATAATATGTATACTTATACATAATTATAAAATAAGTAGTCAAAATGAAAAAAAAAAGCGATCCCTAAAAATGAAATGGAATATGAAGTAAAGGGTCCTAATCCATAGAAAGGAAGTATTTCAAGCAATTTTATTTTTTTATTTTTAATTTTTTAAAAAGATTTTATTTATCTATTTGAGAGAGAGAGCTCACGTGCACGCACAAGCAGGTGGGAAGAGGCGAAGGGAGAGGCAGACCCCCTGTTGAGACTGGGAGGGTGGGGAGGCTTGATCTCAGGACCCTGAGATAGTGACCTGAGCTGAAGGCAGATGCTTAACTGACTGAGCCACCCAGGCTCCCCCAAGCAATTTTAAAGCATAATTTGACTGTGCTTGCCTGATGGAATATATACTAAGGACAAAAAACCCCTGCAAAAACATTTCAATCTGCTTTAAGTAGCTATATTATTAGTAATACTATTTCTATAGTGATTCTGAAGCTTTAGATAGTGGCAAAAAATGTACTTTCTTATTTTCATTAGCACCAAGACATGAGAAAAAATATATAAATATATAGTCACAGAGTTAAGTAAAAGCCCTGTGTAAAATGACAGGGCTTAAATTGTCAATTAGATTCGAATGTGTATCATACCGTAAGCTTTACTAAATATTAGCAAATTTTACTATTAGCAGAGGATACATTGGTAAAGGATGAATATCAGTATGCCACTTAAATAGCTAGGGTTGCACATTTATTATTTGCAGCCTCCTGAGCTCCTTTCCTGAACCAAAACACATTTTGGTTTCAGAGTGGCATCTACAAACTGAGTGTGAAAAAAAGTTTACACAGAAGAGCCATTACATTTTGTGGTCTCTCAGGTTAGTATCTCTACTTTCCAAAACAAAATTTTCCACCTAGTGAAAAGCATATTTTAACGTTTTTGACATGCTGAATTAAAAACTAGTACTAAAGATGCCATTTTTATGAATGATAAGGAGGTTGATGACTGGCACTAAATATTAATTTTAATTTTATTAATTTTAACTGATTGTGTATTTTTCCTGAGAATGTCCTTAGGAAATTATATGACACAAAATCTTACTTTAAAAGCAAATAATCTGGGGCACCTGGATGGCTCAGTGGGTTAAGAGTCTGCCTTTGGCTCAGGTCATGATCCCAAGGTCCTGGGATCGAGTCCCAATTTGGGCTCCTTGCTCAGGGGGAAGCCTGCTTCGCTTCTCCCCCTCCCACTCCCCCTGCTTGTGCTCTCTCTCTCCATCAAATAAATAAATAAAATCTTTAAAAAATAAAATAAAATAAGCAAGTAATTGTTAGCCCTCGCCTTGATAAATAATAGAGGGATAGACGAACAGAGAGACAGAAAGACGAGACAGAGACAGAGAAAAGCAAATAAAATAGTCCAAGAACAGTAAAGAACAGAATATTGGAAATTACTGTCCACATTCATGTTCATATTAATATTAACCAGTATTAAATCCATACCCATATTAACCCACACCAATTAAAAAAAAACTGAATTTCATACCTTTAAATTTAAGTTGCGGCGTTTGGCTAGAACTCCTTTTTTTCAATTGTAAATTCAATGTCATGTATCTTTCTTCATCTTGCATCTTCAATGTGGGTGAATATATGTGTGTATATATGTACTTTTTTTTTTAAGTATGATATGTAATAAGAAAAATAATAAGTCTGCTGTTAATCAGAACTAGTCCTCAAATTGTCCACTCAAATTACAAACAAGGGTGCAGAATTTCATCTATTGGTGAAAACCTCAGAGGAAATGTTTTCTTTTTTTTTAAGTTTATTTCTCATGACCTAGATAACACATGATTTCTCAACTGTCCACCACATATTGAATTTAATATCATATGTGGTTCTTTAAAAAATGTTTCCTGATTAACCCATAAAGTCAGGGAAATGGAAATTGTACTCCTTTTAGAGTTGAGTTACATGGTACATAGGCGTTTTTGGTTTAGCCAAAATATGTGAATTTTTAATTACACTTCTTAATATGGTGATATTTGATTTAATATCAGTTAAATTTCCTGATCCTAAAACAACATTGATTACAAATCATGCTAATTTAATAATATAAACACTGGCAATTTTTCGCATTCTAAAGACATCTTAAACACACACACAAAAAAATTCAGGGAGTGGGGAGAACTTGGGAAAGAAACCATATTTTTCAATTACTTTTTCTGGTATTTGAAGAGAATGCCCAATATTCACGAGACAGACCAGAAATTTCAGATTTTTTTTCTCAGCTTTAAGGAGGTCTACTTTATATACCATAAAATTCACTCATTGTAAGTACATGATTAGCTGATTTTTAGCAAATATACAGATGTGTGCAACCACCACCCAAATCCAGTTTTGGCACTTTCTTATCACACTAAAAAGTTCCCTCAAGGCCAATCTAAAAAGAGTAATATAATTCTGGAAATACTGATTTTATAAGTTGAGATAAAGTTTAAAAGTTTGACACTTAAATCCCAAATCTTTGGTCATTGTAGCAAATGGAGAACAGAAACCGAAAGCTTTCCACCAGAAGACTTCACTGGTGAGGCAGAAGACTGAGGAAAGAGCTGAGTAGAGGAGGCACTCCTGCCTGGAAACAGCCAGTCCTGCTCTCACAGAGGGGGCCCGGGGCCCATTAGCCTGACTCCTATCTCATTCCTCTGCTTTCCTGCCCCTAAATCAATATGTGGAAGCCACAGGGCAAGTTTGTCTCCACCGGCCAATCTTCCAGGACAGAGAATGAGCTGTAGAAGGTGGACAGCAGAGCTGGAGGTGCAAAAATCAGCCTTTTGAATTTAGTAGTGACTTAATGATAATTACATTAAATACTTCCACAGTTACAGTAGCACAATTTTGGCTAAAATTTTCTATTATTTTCCTGCTACACATTTTTCACCAAGAGTCTTCAACTTTTGGTGTATTTATTAATAACTGGGTGGACACAGTGACCTATCTTGTGGATGTCAGTCAGCCTCTTTCCTCAGACATCTCAGACATCCTGGACCTTATTAAATGGTCACCTGTAAAATGATCCAGGACAGTAAGGATGGAAGTTATAAGCTCAGATAATAAGGTCCTCCCCCATCATGGCTGATTTTGCTAAAACCTTGCCAAATGCCCAACCTGTTAAAGGCAGAGACCAAAGCAGAGCACAATTTCAGAGGGAAACCAGCCAACCTCCTGATGGCAGATCTATTACTTAAGAATCTTCCATTATGCACTGTCTAGTGCTTTGTGCTCACAGGAATAATCACATACTTTAGGAGTAGATTTGACTTCTTTACCTGCGATGCTTCTGCTAGCATCACCATTCACAAAGCTACAGAATGTCTTCTTTGTTGTCATGATTTTCCACACATCCTTGCATTTGACATTTTGCAGAAAAGAAAGTTTGGTAATCAGTTCATGCCTGCAGAATTTATTTATCCATAAGCAACGTGCTGGGCAGGATGCTGAAATGACTTTCTGAAGGCACACTGGTGACATCAGCTGGTGTCATAGACAGAACGTACAGGTCTATGAATCAAAGCATGGAGTTAGGATTCAACTTCAACGTGCCCCCCTCCCATTATTACACCTTATAATCCACATGAAGAAATTGCTTCCTTTACCCAAGGTCTTGCTGGGGTTTTTTACATTTTATTTTTTTAAGTTTTTATTTAAATTCCAGTATAGTTAACACATAGTGTAATATTAGTTTCAGGGGTACAATATAGTGATTCAACACTTCCTTACATCACCCAGTGCTCATCACAAGTGTGCTCCTTAATCCCCATCACCTATTTCATGCAAGATCTTGTTTTTGTTAGGTGTAAAACTTCTAATGCCCAGAAAGAAGACTGTTCTAATAAGGAACATTATCAAGTTCCTGATGAACTAGAAGCCAGTAATTACACTAAACACAAAATCATTTGTGGAAGTAAAGAACGTGGCCACTGAACCTCCCCTTGTGCTTTTTTTGAGCCTCTATAAATTAAGATAATTCTCCCTACCCCATTACTTTTTCAGTTTAGATTTTAATACAAACTTAAAAGATTCATCTTGTCAGATTCTTCATTTTCTCTGAATTTCAGAGTGTTTGGAGTGTATGACTCTGTCACTCCATGCATTAGCTATCCAAGTTGTATGCCATCTACAAATTCGTTATGTTAATTGAAGCATTCTTTTTTTAAATTTTTTATTAACATATACTGTATTATTTGTTTCAGGGGTACAGGTCTGTGATTCATCAGTCTTACACAATTCACAGAGCTCACCATAGCACATACCCTCCCCAATGTCCATCACCCAGCCACCCCATCCTGCCCACCCCCCTCCACTCCAGCAACCTTCAGTTTGTTTCCTGAGATTAAGAGTCTCTTATGGTTTGTGTCCCTCTCTGGTTTCGGCTCGTTTCATTTTTCCCTCCCTCCCCCTATGATCCTCTGTCTTGTTTCTCAAATTCCTCATACCAGTGAGATCATATGATACTTGTCTTTCTCTTTCTTAAAATGTGGGACCTGATGAGACCAAAGACAATACATCTGGCATATAGCAAATGATCTCTCCCAACTAATGACACCTAACCTAAATAAAACTTCTTTCGTGCAGATTGGTATTATGGTAGATTTTGTCAAATATCCCAGTGAACACCACATATACTTTATTATGAGTCTTTTTCAGACACATTAGTATAAAACTACCAGGAATATGAGGTCATTCTGGTATGACTTGTACTTATTCGTATTATACACATGACTATTTACTAAGACTTAGAAAACTGTATTTTTTTTTTAATTTGGAATTTTAATTATGTACATAAATAGCAACTTGAGAACGAGGAGTTCTAAGGCTAGACATTATCTCTAGGTGAAAGGATTTCCGATTAGTCCACTTGCAGTATGGCATCACCCAAGATAACAAAGAAGCCTAGTATAGTTTGTCCTGAAGAAGAAAGCCAATTTACTATATTCAGTACTGACTTCTCTGCCATTTTTCTGTAGAAATACTGGTTTGCTGCATGGAGTTTCCAATGTTTACCTATAACTGATTAAAATGGGCAGAGCATGGAGCATTCTATTTATTTCCAGGTGAATTCTTCACATTTCCTGGCTTTTGAAAGTTCTCCTTCCACAAATCTTCTACGACTATGTATCCTCGTAAACCCCAGTCATATAATTTCTCCCCAGTGACCTGGACAAATACGATGGCTTGTTGTGGATAATAAAGAGAGGCAGCAAGTCCCATGAATCCAGGTGGATACACCAGCTTCTTTATTTTTGAACCTCTAGCCAAAAGAAGTCCAACAATGCCAGCAAAACCAATAACACCAAGTCTTGGAAAAAAACCAGGAGGTGCATTTTGGAGATATTCATAGCTGCCTAACCCCCATTGAACCAAGCTCTGCATCCTGGGCTTAGTTTGTGAGTACATTTCCTGACACCAACTTGTATATGGCTCGCAGTAATGTCGGAGATGTGAAATGCTTTCTTCAAGTGGGGTCCTTGGCTCCTCCACATATTTAGATTGACCCTCAGGGACGGAGTAGAGTGAAAGCTCATTAACTTTCACAGAAGTTTTGTGAGGTGAGTCCTTTTTAGGTGATGCATAGACTCTGAAGGTGAGCAGACTCAGGCTGGCTGGCCCCACAGACCTCTGAATTACCTTGAACATGCTGCTGGCAGAGGTGGCTCTGGCGGGCTCAGAAAACTGTATTTTTAATAATTCGCTCTGCCCATTGTTGCCCAAAGCTCTCAGCTCCAAAAATATCTGATACATATTATCTTCTCTCCTGTAGAGAACTTGTTCAATGTCTATATATTTGTGAATTTTCCAGTTTCCCTTCTGCTGCTGGTTTGTAATTTCATTCCTTTGTCATCAGAGAAGACACTTAGTATTATTTCAGTCTTAAATGTTGTAAGATTTGTTTTGTGACCTAACATGTGCTCTATGCTGGAGAATGTTCTCTGTGTGCTTGAGAAGCTGTGGGTTCTGCTGCTATTGAGTGGAGCACTCTCTATATGTCTGTTAGGTTCATTTGGTCTAAAGTATGTTCAAGTCTGTTGTTTTCCTTATTGATATTCTGTCTGGATGTTCCATCTGTTGCTGAAAGTGGGGTAGTGAAGTCTCCTACTGTTGTTGTGTTGCTGTTCTAGTTCTCCTTTCTGTTTGTCAATGTTTGTTTTATATATTTGGGTGCTCTGATGTCGGGTACATATACATTTATAACTGTTGCATGTTCTTAATTGATCTTTTTATCATTATATAATGTCCTTCTTTGTCTCTTGTGACAGTTTTTGACTTAAAGTCTATTTTATCTGATATAAATATAGCCACCTCTGCTCTCTTTTATTTACCATTCGCACGAAATATCTTTTTCTAACTTTTCACTTTCAGCTTGTGTGTGTCCTTATAGCTAAAGTGAGTTTATTCTAGAAAGCATACAGTTGGGTCTTGTGCTTTTGTCTGTCTGTTTGTTTACCCATTCTAGCACTCAATGTCTTTTTAAAGTTTAATTATTTACATTTAAAGTAATTATTGATAGAGAAGGATTTACTGTTGCCATTTTGTTCTCAGAGAACAGATTATTCTTTTATCTGTATTTTTTCTCTTGATGTCTACCTTTGTGTTTTGCTGATTTTTTGCATTGGTATGCTTTGATTTCTTTCTCTTATGTGTGTGTAACTTCTATACATATTTTGTT